GCCCTCAGAGACTCCAGAGGCAGGGTGCGGAGAAAAGGCGCACTCCCCCTGCTGCCCACCGCTGTGGGAAGCCTGGCTCTACCAAAGCACCTGGCCCGTGTGCTCTGGGGGGCAGCAGAGAGAAGGAGGCACGCTTCTTGCAAGTCAGGAAGGGACAGCTGAGGTGAGCAGGGGAGACGGGCAGGTGACTAAGCAGAGAGGGGCCGCTCAGCAGTGGAAAGAGCCTTTTGCGAGTGCCCAGAACCTTGAAAGGGTTGGTCTGTCTGGGGCCTGGTGACTATGCTCTGAGCATAGTCACCAGGGAGAGAGAAGGGACAGACGGGCTGGGAAGGAAGCAGGCACCAGGGCTGGGACAAGGTGAGGCAGCGAGGCAGCCAGGGCATTGCCCCTGGTGGTGCCTGCACAGTCCTGAGAGTGGGTACCTCCTGCCCTCTGGTGCCCTGAGCCCCTCACTTGTACACCCTGGCCCCGGCCCTCCTCCTCTACCATGCTGAGAAGCCTGGAAGTCTAGTCTGCAGGTCAGGAGCAGCCAGCAGAATGCCTGGGCTCCTTTCTGTTCTAGGAAGATAACCTGACCCAATCCCTGGCCCAGCACTTCACACCCGATGAAAGCTTTCAGTCTGATCAGCAAGCAAGCGGAGGCTCCCCTTCCAAACAAGCTTCTCCACCTAAGTGCAATCCTGCTAAAGACTGATGCTTGCTTCAGACCCAACACACAGCAAATTCCTGAGGGCAGAGGGCAAATGGGACTGAGGTTGGAGAGAAGCCTGCAAGGATCTGGGAGGCAGCCAAGTTCATCTAGTCAAGTTGGAAGAATAAGCTAGTCCTTCGATTGAGGGTGAGAGCTCATGTTTGCCTCACTAATTTGGGCTTTATTCAAGTTAGCTATCTGAATTATTGGATAGCAAAATACGACTTAGCCATCCAGTCTTAAACTCAGCATAAACTTGGGCATGTGAAGGAGAAGGGAGAGAGATGAGGAAGGACGCTTCAAAGAGCTATGCATCTGAACTCATTTCAAGCCCCGTGAGGCACCCCACAAGTACCCATTTGCCCAAAGACAACTGATAGCCAATGGAAAATTATTCTTGTCTATTCCTGAATGAGGATCATCTTTAAGGAACTCTTAGTCAAGGAGTTTTTAATCGTATTATCTATTACATATGTAATTACCATAATTGCTATTGGTTAAAAACACTGCATTTATTTTATACTAGTGTGTAATTCAAGACTTGCACCAATTTGTCTTGGATTCTTCTCATTTGTGAGACTTTAATATGAAGATTGTATTATCGTAATGTCTGCACATAAACACCAACAGATTTTCAAAATCTGTCCCCCCAAAACCTGCTGATAGCATGCAAGGCCACAAAGTTAATGGGAAACAATGTCCCCTAAGTGATCTGAGACTCACTCATCTCACTCCCAAGGCACATTTAGGACTGTAGCTGTGGTCTACAGTTGTAGTAATCCTTTACTATCGCCTGCCATCACCTGGAATCACAGTTCTCAATACTCTCAGATGGAAATCCGCTTTTAAAACAAATACTTTCATTCACAGACGGTATCGCTCACCTACCACATGCTTAAAAATATATATGCATGAGGGGTCAACATCCAAAATACATAAAGAACTCACACGCCTCAACACCCAAAAGGCAAATAACCCCATTAAAAAATGGGCAGAGGACATGAACAGACACTTCTCCAAAGAAGAAATTCAGATGGCCAACAGGCTCATGAAAAGATGCTCCACATCATTAATTATCAGGGAAATGCAAAATAAAACAACAGTGCTAAATCACCTCACACCAGTTGGGATGGCCAATATCCAAAAGACAAGGAACAACAAATGCTGGCACAGATGTGGAGAAAGGGGAACCCTCCTACACTGCTGGTGGGAATGTAAGCTAGTTCAACCATTGTGGAAAGCAGTATGGAGGTTCCACAAAAAACTAAAAATAGAAATACCACTTGACCCAGGAATTCCACTCCTAGGAATTTACCCTAAGAACGCAGTAGCCCAGTTTGAAAAAGATATATGCACCCCTATGTTTATTGCCACAGATTTACAATAACCAAGATATGGAAGCAACCTAAGTGTCCATCAGTAGATGAATGGATAAAGAAGAGGTGGTACATATACACAATGGAATACTATTCAGCCATAAGAAAGAAACAAATGCTACCATTAGCAACAACACAGATGGAGCTAGAGGGTATTATGCTCAGTGAAATAAGTCAGGCAGAGAAAGAGAAATGCCAAATGATTTCCCTAATTTGTGGAGTATAACAACAATGCAAAACTGAAGGAACAATATAGCAGCAAAATCACAGACTCTGAGAAGGGACCAGTGGTTACCAAAGGGGAGGGGTGGGGTATGGTGGGGGAGGAGGGAGAGAGAGAAGGGGATTGTGGGGTATCATGATTAGCACACATGGTGTGGCTGGCTGGGGGGAGTAGGGTCACAGGGATGACAGTGTAGCACAGAGAAGACAAGTAGGGACTCTGTGGCATCTTACTACACTGATGGACAGTGACTGTAATGGGGTATGGGGGGAACTGGATAATATGGGTGACTGTAGTAAACACACTGTTTTTCAAGTAAAACCTTCATAACAGTGTATGTCAATGTTACCTTAATAAAAATAAATATATACACACACACATATATGTATACACACACACAATGCCCTTACTGTAATACTAGGGAAATAAAAGGTAAGTACTTCTGTATAAGAATGCCATGTTACATGGATGGACCTAGAGGGTATTATGCTCAGTGAAATGAGCCAGGCGGAGAGAGACAGGTACCAAAGGATCTCACTCAACTGTGGAGTACAAGAACAAAGAAAAACTGAAGGAACAAAGCAGCTGCAGACTCAGAACACCCAAGAATGGACTAACAGTTACCAAAGGGAAAGGGACTGTTAGAGGGTATTATGCTCAGTGAAATAAGCCAGGTGGAGAAAGACAAGTACCAAATGATTTCACTCATATGTAGAGTATAAGAACAAAGGAAAACTGAAGGAACAAAACAGACGGAGAATCACAGAACCCAAGAATGGACTAACAATTACCAAAGGGAAAGGGACTGGGGAGAATGGGTGGGAAGGGAGGCATAAGGGCGGGGAAAAAGATAGGGGGCATTACGATTAGCATGTGTAGTGGGGGGGCACTGGGAGGGCACTACAACACAGAGAAGACGAGTAGGGATTCTGCAGCATCTTACTATGCTGATGGACAGTGACTGTAATGGGGTTTGTGGGGGGGGGACGTGGTGAAGGGGGGAGCCTAGTGAACATAATGTTCCTAATGTAATTGTAGATTAATGATACCGAAAAAAAAGAATGCCATGTTATACGCACATCTCTATGAAAACCCTGAGGCAGGCGATGACGGGAAGATTCGAGGAGGATTTCTGATGCTTTCACCAAATACAGCGAGCCTCCATGTAGGCAAGTGCTCCCAAGAAGGACTCTCTGGGGTGTCTTAAATTGGTAATGGACACGAGGAGCAGCCCTGCCGCTGATGACTAAGATCCCTGAAACCGTGAATACTTCTCGGTGAAGTGCTCGCCAAGGAAGAAATGACCGCCTTCCGTGACTTTGCCAAACACATTCCTGTGAAAACTGTCATGAATTAAAACAGTATCGAAAGATAATGTATATTTTGGTTGGTGTGTAGGGTTTTGGCGTGCATGCCTTTAAGGTTACCAGGGAAGAAAGGGTTCAGCCCGGGACAGCCACCATGAGAGAAACGCGGGCACAAAAAGCGCGGGCTGCGGGTCTCGCGATGCTGCAGTGCGTGGACACGTAGGCCAGACGCTTGCCGCGCATGACGAGTGCACATGCGCACGGCGGCTGCACAGGGTGGAGAAGTCGTCAGGGGTGGCGCACCTCTCTTTCTCGTCCCGCCTGCAGCGGCGATCGGTTGGTCGTGACGACTGCTCCCAGAGTGATGGCTGCTGCCGCCATATGTGGACTTTCAACAACTTTCAAGTATTTGGTGTAGTGCTGCTTTAGGGCGGTTTTCGTGCGGTCCATTTTGAGGTAAGCCTGGTCGCTTCTCTCAGGATTGTAGTGGGAATGGGCTCCATAGGTCGATATTAAGACAAGATTTCAGCCCGTTCCTCGGCACACTTACGTTTTCTCTTCTTTCAGGGCTGCTCTTCTTTACCACAATGGAACGAGCTTTAGAACAAGCTTTGGAGGGTGTGGAGTGTGCCACTGGCAGTGCCCAGCAGACACCTCCTCAAACGGAACAGTCTCCTGAGGGAAAATCTCTTTATGAGAAACTTTACAACGTTTACGTTGAACGAGGTGGACAAGAGCCTGGGGTTACAGAGGAATTAAGAGACATTGTGAATTTGTTGGAGAAGCTGGTTAGGAAAGAGTTGCTGGCGTGTTTACTAGTCAGCGTATACCCAGGAAAGGGGGGATATTCTGTGATACTCAAGGGGGAAAAGGGCTCGTCATATTTGGAGACCATTAACCTGCCTTATGAGGTAGGGGAATTACTCGATTATTTACATGGAGAAGAATTGCCTCCCATTTTGGAAGATATTCTGGAAGATTCTCAGATTAACATTTTTTACTGGGGCTGTGTGGTAACAGAAATACAGGACTACAGATTTCCCAGTTTCCCGGGGCCTCCTGGTTACCAAAGCAGGTATGTTCTCTTACATGCAACGATGAAGACTTTCGCCTGTGACCAACCGTCCAAAACCAGTGAGAACCAGAAATGGACCCAGCAAGACAAAGTTGTACGTGAGAGCCAACTGTTTTTAACTACCGCTGAACCACTGTACCTAGGTCCTCCTATATCAGGAGCAGAAGTGACTACAGGGCCGATGAAAAGGGGCATCAAGAGGTGTTGTAGCCCCTCTCTGAATGGGCAGGAGGAGCTGTCTCTTTTTCCATCACCTCGTGAGCTAAGGCCAGTAACTTCGTGCCAGGAAACCAATGAAAGTGAAGCAGGTGAGCAGCATGACCTGATTTCTAATGTAGAAAGTTGTGTGGATATGTGGGAACAGAATCCCTGTGACTTTAACATAACTTCTGAAGCAGATGTTGAGAAATATGCTGAAGAATTGGAGAAGTTTTTAGAAAATGATGACCCAACCTGGCCAATCTTTGACAAAGACTATGATTCTGCATTTGACTGGGAATCTGGCAATCTGCCCGAGACAACAGAGCTGGACTCGGTTAAGCCACTTGATGATGCAGTTAGCTCTGGAAAAGAAAGTTCAGATAAAGAAGTCAGAGGTGAGACACAGCTGCCTTTCCTCCAGAACTTCAAAAATGAGCACTCAGTGTTCAGTGAGTCCAAGGAATTGGTCCAGAAGAACCTTGGCAGTTGTCCATGCCAGATGTGCCACAGCTCCAGTGGCTCAGCCAGCCTCAGCCAACCTTCCCCAGGGAGAGACATAGAACAACCTGAGACCGTGGTGGCTCAGGCTTCAGTCCTGGGGGAGGAAGTCACACAGCCACCTCCAGGCATCATGCTTTCCTCCAGCTCCAGCCAGAGCTCCTCGCATAACAGTCTTCTTCCACAGCAGGCCAGCAGCTCTCTTCAGCCTCCTGCTCCTGCTCCTGCTCGTGCCCAGGAAAGCTCTGTGGAAGTGAATCAAGGTACCTACCTTCTTGCCACCACCCTGCCCAGCACCAGCTCATCACAGAATGTCCCTGCCACCCAGGCCATCGCCAACTGTGTCAGTCGGAACATCATTAGAGAAGGTGGCCATGTTGGTGGAGACCAGGCTGTGCTGAGTGGTCCCAGATCCACGCAGGGCTCCAGCTGTCCGGCCTGGGCTCCTGCAGAAGTCAAGCCCGACATCCCACCCTCAGAAGCTTGTCCACAAAATGCAGCACCCACTGCACCGCAGCCTCCTTCTCAGGTAGCTGCTCAGTACCTCTTAATAAATGATCCAGGTCTCAAGCAGGTAACTCTGTTGAGGCCATATAGTATGCCTCTGAACACCCAGCAGCAGCAGCTCTATCAGCTGATTCCACAGCAGCAGTTGCAGCAACCCAGAGCTCCTGCTCCCCAGCAGCCAGTGCCACCGAGTTCCAACACTCCGGGTCCCGGGCAGCCAGCCCCACTGAGTGCCAGCGCACAACCCTCAACCACTCAGACAACGGCCTCCACCACTCTGCTGACTACGCTCATGAATCCCCATGGAAGGGGAGGCTCTCTGCAGCCCCAGAGGATGCTGCTGCTTCCGGTTGACCCCCACCTGGTAAGACCTTGGTGGTCATAATGTTGCAATGACTGTTTGTGTGTAAGTATTTTTCTCAGAATGCCTGTCATATTTTGCCTTCCTAAGCAGGGGCCCCAGCAGCAGAACCCCCAGCGGCAGGTGCTGTGGAGAATCTTGCAGCACTCCATGTCTGGGACCACAGTAGGTACCCAGACATCTTGGCCACCGCAGGGCCAGGAAGAAGACAGCCAGCCCAAAGGTAATACGACGGGAGACCCGCCAGCCCCTCCCAAATCCTGAGCCTTGCACTACTTGTCTTCTCTTTAGAAATGGGCATCAACCCAAACGATCTCTGTATTTTACCTTGTTTTTTTGTTTTGGTTAAGGGGTCAGTGTTTTATATTGTTAGGTGTACGAGCGTTGTTTGGAAGCAGAGCCCCATGGTGTCCACTAAGAAACAAGGAAGTGATCGCCATCACCTGGGGTGGTTTTGCTGCAGTCACCGCTTAGTGGCTGCCCTATTTTTTATTAGAATGGTCTGAAGTGTATCCAAATCCCAACTAATTCCAGTTTCCACTCTTGAAGCCTATAGTTTCTCCCAAACGGTAAAGCTACAATTCAAACAAAGCTAAAATTGGTAGTGTTTCGACAAAATGATGTAAATGTTCTCTAGCTGGGTTAAAAAACACAGAATGTGAAATTTACCATCTGAGCTATTTCAAAGTGGACCTTTCAGTATGTTAACTGTATTCTCATTGTCAGGCAACAGACCCTGAGTTGGAGTGATCTTGCAAAAGTGGAACTCCATCTCCTTGGAGCACAGACTCCCATTTCCCTGTGCCCCTGCCGCTGGCAACCACCTTTGTGTTTCCTGTGTGTGTGGCTTTGCCCGCTTCAGATGCTTGGTGTTGTAAGTGTATTCATGCAGCGTTTGTCTCCCTGTGACGGGCTTATCTCAGCACAGTGTCCTGAAGGTCCATCCATGTTAAAGCATGAGGTGGGGAGGTTAGAGCTTTTTGAAATGGGTTTCACTGTATGTACTCTACACTGTGGTGACCTGTGAGGTGGTAGACATCTTTGAGAAGAATGTGCTTTTGTATTTTTTCCTTTCATTTACAGGGGTGTGCACAGCGCACTGAATGTAATTTTTATAAGTTAGTTGTGAAAAAAAATTAAAAATACCTCAAAATGATGGGGTCACAGCTGACCTGTAGATGCCTGGGCCCACTGCCTCACTCAGGCCCAGTGCTGCCTCTGGGCAGCCACCTCTGCTCTTGAAAACAGGTATTTCTGGGACCTCTTCTTTTCTCCCTTTATAAAATCACTTAACCTTTCATAAAAGCACAAAAAGTGACTCCCTTTTTGAAATCACTTCTCTTCTCCCTTCATGAAATCACTTAGTGTTTAACCATTCACCCAGTGATGTCCATTTCGGTGGTTTCCACCTTTAAGCTACTGTGAATAGTGTTTTTATGACTGTTTGTGTGTAAGTATTTTTCTCTGAGTGCCTGTTAAATTTTTTGCTCTTTGAAGGGCAACCCATCTGCCTAAACTTTGTTTTTCACCTTTTACCCTAACAACGACAATGTCGACAAAGGAAATTTATTCTGGCGGTTGCAAAAGAGATGAGCCACGACTCAACAGGGGAGTTTTAATCCATTAGCCCAGCCGCCCTGATGCGCCACCGATCCTGTTAAGGGAAGATTTCATCCAACTTCAAGCAGACCTGTCAGCTAGGCCATCTGAGTGACGCTGAGCCCATTGCAGCTTTGTGAAGCCGGCACTTTGAAGATGTGAACCAGCACAGTAACCGGTTGCAAAGAAGAGTTTCCACTCGGCCTTGACAACCAAGCAGACACCTGAACTCAGAATCTCACCAGACTTGATGTACTGTCTCCGTTTTGCCCTTTCTGTGGTCCTTTCCAGGACTGCATGGAGACAGAGGCTCAGCTTGTGCTTGAGTAATGCGGTGCTCCCTTCCCAGGCACGCAAATCCATTCAGCTCTGTTCAGAGTGCCATGTGGCGGTCTTGTTTATTTCCTCCTAATGATCCCCAGCAAGGCTGGTAATTTGATGCAGGCTCACTTTTGAGGATATTAACTGGTTATGTTTGTGAATAAATTTTTCATTCATGTTTGATTGCTGAGAACCTTGAGGCTCTTCCTTGTACCAGGTCAAATCCGTACTTGGTCAGAAATTAGTTCTGTGCAGGGTGTGCCTTTACACTTCAAGGCTGATCATCGATATGACATTGCTGTGCAAAGGCAGGGCCTTGTAATATTCCAGCAGGGAGCAGAGAGAGTGGTGCAGAAGATGAACACTCAAAAAAATCCAGTACAGCAGGACATGTCTGGCAGAACTGGGGCCCCTGTGGCAGGGTGGGAATTTGGGAACGGGATTATATTCCTTGAAGACATTTGCAAGTGAAGGGAGAAGTCTAGCTCCTGTCAGCACTGCCCAATACAAGTATAACGTGGGTCCCATATGGAATTTTAGATATTTGTAGTCATATTTTAGTAAGTAAGAGAAACAGGAGAAACTACTTACAGTAATTTATTAGCCCCAATATATCCAAAAGATTATCATTTCCACAGGTAATCAGTACCTTAAAATTCTTAATGAGATGTTTTTGTTTTATTTTTTTTACTAAATTTCAAAATCCAGACACAGCCTGTCTCAATTTGGATGGTAACTTTTCATCAGAGATACCTGATCTGTATTTAGATTTTTATAAAATCTACAGTTGAAAGAAATGTAGATTCACCTTCTAAACATAGTAATAAGTTTTCCAATTGAATCACGAATCAGTTTTTGGACTTAGATGAGTTAACATTAAATAAGAATTAGTTCCTCAGTCTTACTAGCCACATTTCAGGTGGTCAGTAGTGGCGATGGTGTTGGACATCGCAGGTCTTGAGGGAAGGAGGGGCAGAGCAGACCACAGAGACAGAGCCTCAGGTATGAACGGGGGGCCCTTTGTGACATTAGGCAGGAGCCAGTCGGCAATGCGCGCATTTGGAGTGGGAGTGATGACACGGATTCACATGCAAGGCCATACCTCCCAGAAATCCCTGAGCCTTCGGGCGCCTGGCCAGGAGCTGCGGGTAGGGAGCAAGTGGCCCCAGCTCTGGAGGGAGGCGGGGGGTAGTCATAGAAAAACAAGGCTCAGCCCTTTGACAGGCTCTGCCCTGCCATATTTCAAACGCCAATGAAGACACTGACCATCCCAGCAGTTAATCAAAACGCACCTGTTCCTCCCGGTCCCCAAGAAGCTGGGAGCCCGAGGGAATGGGGGAGAGGAAGCCCACCTCTTGCTCTTCCAGCCTTCCTTCCTGTCCATTTTCTCGGCCTCTAGCTCTTCAGCACAGAGGAAGCAGAGCAGCCACGACTTGGTGTTTGTGGGCGTGGGTGGTGGCTACCTGGAGGCTCCTATCACTCCAGGTTTCCTTGATAGGAATGTGTAGTTGGCTACATCTGCATCTGAAGAGTCAAGTTCCTGTTCCTCCAGCCCCATTGCACCTTGCCCCACCCAACCTTCAGCTTGCCTGGGAGTGAGTCCTGCTCACCCTGGCCCTCAGCCTGCCCTTGCCTCCCCACCCCCACCTTCACTCCCACAGCCGCTGGCAGCAAGGGGTGTTGGAGTTAATTGTTAAATTCAGTTCAACAAGTTCCTCATTAGGGACAAATTACCTGAGTTTGAAATCTGCTAATTTTCCAATCAGAGTGAGTGTTTGCACTTGTGATTTGGAAATAATTACCATATGGTAAAAGCAAACCTATGTGGGGATTAAAGTAAAGGTGAGGGAGGACAGGAGCTTATTTTGGCAGCTTCCTTGGAAACTCGTGTTGGCATATGCAGATTAGGTGACGTGCCCTGGGATTGTGGCTGGGAAAGCACACCAGTAGCACAGTCTCACCAGGGCTGTTTATTTCATGGGCTAATAGCCCTGAAAGGTGATCTTGGCCTTGAAGGAAGAGCAGGGTTGCTAGCCTTCGAGGGCCTGAATTGTGTTTGGAAAAGGAAAAAGCAGTCTTTTGGAGTCAGCTATTTCATCTAAAAATATATCTATACTTTTGCTTAAATCTGTCCTCCATCTAAAGCTTCTGCCTAAAATACAAATAAAAACAGTTCCTTGGGGGTGCAAGTGGCGAGTCTACATGCTAGGTAGACAGATAGACAAGAGCATCCAGGGAAGGGGCAGATAAAGTTCAAGGGAAAAACCGCCCAGATAAGAGGGTCCCATGTGAAGACAACAAAGGCTTGCAGGGAGCTAAGTTCTTTGCCTATGGGGATCAGGCCAAACCGGTTCCAACGAGGTCCCACCACAGGCACAATCAAACAAAACTAAGAACCACCCAAGCCACACCTCATCATCATCCCATTAAAATAAAATTGGGGTTCTGCTCCCCACACCCCCATGGGCTTTTCTGTGTGCCTTCTGGGAAAAGACACGCACACCAAGAGGAATGGGTGTATAACTAGAGCCGTTAATCAAGTGACCTCACCCTGTACAAGAGGCGCCTCCCAGCTGGGTCATGATAAGTAGACGCTGCTCCTGAAAATGCAGGGCCTTTGTCTACCTTGACTCTGGCCCGCTCCTCCCTTTGAGTGTTTTAAAGTAAAATTTACCCTCCACTTCGCTATGGTCTCCGCCTTTCAGTTCTTTGTTTTGGCAGAGACAAGAACTGAGGAGAACAAAGTCAGGCCATAACGTAAATATCCTCCGGGTGAATTTACAGTGAATGTATTAGGGAAAGCTCATCTGAAAGGATCTGATGAATTGTAGACTAGTCATTGCTGCAGATCCTACTTGAGCTGAAGTGTAGAGATCTGGGTCACTCACCTGCAGTAATTTGTCCCAGTCCCAATTGCGAGACGAGTGGTTCTAAAGCTTAGGAAACCCATGGTAAAGCATAATAAGGTCTCAGGTAATTTACAAGGCAGTGCAGAAAACCTCCTGAGACATTGCTTTTGAAATTTCACACCAAGAAGAGCTGGTCTTCCCTGAGAAGGCAGTATCCTTCCTCTTTTCTGATAACTGGAGTTGTACAAGTTCTCAGCATTCCCTGTGCACCTCAGCTTCCAGAAAACTCAAAACTGAATTTGAAACTGAAACCACCACGTTTACATTTATGGTTTGCACTTCAGGATTTTCCTTGCTCCTATTTTTTTATTTCTATTTTACTAGTACTTTTTACTGGTCTTTGTCATATATTACTTCATATCTTTTGCCAAAGAAACTGGGAGCAAATGTGTCTCTACATGCATAAACGTGCAGTAGCTTCTATTTGTTTATTTACA